GCAGATGTGCGGATGTTTGGTATGGATAATGAGGCAAAGCCTCGAAAGCTTTTTCTTACCTTTAGATACTTACTCATAACGCATAACCAGAAGAAAGGAAACCATTACCTGTGGCTGCTGAAAGCTGCAATCTGTTATGTTCTAAGCATTCATCAGATTTGTTAACCTTTTGATAATTGCAGACTTCTAATCAATGCCTCAGTTCCATTTCTAATTACTTTTCAATTTGAATTGATTTCCAATATGTTGCTTTGTGGTGTCTGCAGGTCTCCTGAGGTGGACCTCTGATGTGTTACTGTTTTTCTGCATTTCATGTTAAATTCTGTGACCATTAAGTGCATTTTGTCTCTCCTGTTGCCTTTTCTGCCCGGAAGACCTTCCACTTGCCATAGCAGATTGGCAGAGACACAACTTCTCTAGTAAGTTTTCTAATTACTGACCTTGAGTTAGTGGTTTTCGTTTTGCTTTCCGCTTAGAAATCCATTTGAACATTAATTTCATGGAAATGTTCTCCTTATTTTCCACTTGTGCAGTTGTTGACATGTTTGTGCCATCAATTTGTCCTTGGGAGAGTGGGGCCTAAAAGGTGAGTCTCATACGAGGACTACCTGTTGTTGCGGCAGTCTGGGAGGAGACCCCATCAAGGACCCATATCCTGTCAACTTGGCCCCAATTTGATGCTTTTTGTGGTTTGCTTTACATCTCTCCTTGTAGCTCCTGCTGCCTTCCAGCTGCCTGCTGCTGCATTTTCCTGCACCGAGTATTTTCCATTCCTTTTTGCGCATTTTCCCAGAATTTGTTGTCCCTTTGTGTGTGGGTGTGTGTGTGTGTGTGTGTCTGCGGCTTAGATGAATGCCCTCGTTTGTTGCAGTTGCTTGTCATTTTTATAGGTTTGTTTGCCGAACCACCACAGAAGGACATTGTGTCCGGTGGCCGCTCTATTCGTCTCTCGGTGTCGGCCGCCTTCATTTTTATTAGCCCTCTGCCGCATGTGGAACCAAGAATTATGGCAGAGAGATAAACCAATTTGATTTGTTTGTGCGGGTCCTAAACTCTTGATTAACTGAGAATTTTCCACTCCCTCGTTTGCCTTTTTAGTAATTGAGTAAATATTGATAACGAAGGGGAGGACGGGCAAGAAGGGAAAGAGACTGCAAAACAATTTGATAGATTATATTGTACATATATATGAGTACAAATTATGGTTTCGGATCAAATTCTTACAGTTTCCAATTAAATAAAGGATAAATTCGTTCGTATCTTCAGTTCTTATCTTTGTTATACCCGCTACTGGGTGAGTAAATTGTATTTGTGCGGCCCTACAAATTGTAATTATAATTCCATAAAATAATAAACATATCGCCCACGTTCATCGTTTATTGGTCAATTTACTTTCACACTTTCACTAAAGGCCAAGAACTTTTTCCTGTGCCCCGAAAACTTAACGAAATTAAACCCCCAAAAAACAATTATGGATAGAGTTGTGTGTGGGGGGGGTTAAGTGGGAAAGTGGAAAAGCAATATACAACATACTCGTATACTTTCTTTCACACTTTCCCCGTAAGCCAGCCCCTCAGCCCGGCGGCCCTCGTGGCACTCGCACTTTTCTCAATTGTTTTTCCTGTTATTGGTTTCTGTTATTATATTTTGATAAGATGATTTTGTTTACACGACAAATACTCACGTAGCCCCATGTTTTACTGTTATTGTTTTTGATACTCACCTCGTCCAACCATCTCCCCATCCCAAACCCCCACCCCCACCCCCACCCCCAAAGGAGCTGCACTCTCCGCTCTGTTTTTCCAACCCATTTTTCCATTTTTCTATTAGTTGGAATCATGGCTTGGCCACGTACTGTCGTACGACTGGGGGCTATACTCCCCGCACTTCTTTTTGATTTTCAAACACGTAGTGGCTTGGCCAACACAGCATTTCCCATTAAAAACGCAAAGGCCAATGCATAAATGATTGCCACTGGAAGCTCCACCTTGCCCGGGTACGGGCGGGGACTTGTGCAATTCATTCACTCATTCGAAGCACTCGACGCACTCATCCATCCAAGCAGCCAACCATCCAACCATCCCACCATCCAGCCATCCATTCATTCATAACTATGAATTGTAGTTTATTCGTGGTCGTAAAATGTTTGGGCCATGATGATGGCGATCAGCAGGCAGCTGGCTTGGGGCACACCTTGCTTAAGAGATATTTATGGAGAGAAGAAGTCTTCGATTAGCCAAATTGACAATACACTGAGCGAAAAATAGATTCCACGGCTATAGGAACTGCAATGTGTGAATATGAATTATAAATCACTTTTCTTTCAGTGGAGAAGTGGCGTGCCTCATTGGATTTGTCTTCCATTCATTAAGAAACTTTATGCGTCGCTCTCTGCGACAGACATTCGGCATCCGCTATATGCCACAATATTCCTCGTGCTTCCTGCCCCTGTCGCTGTCGCTGTCGCTGTCCCTGTCCCTGTCTATGCCCCTCCGCAGCTACATATCGTCGATTTTGTTTTTGCATTTCAACATACATCGATTTTTTGTTGTTTTTAATTGATATTGTTTTCGTGTAGCAAAACGAGAAGCAGAAAGAGAGAAGCGATGGAAGCCATGGGGCATGGGATGGAGGCACGTTATATGAATTTCAATTTTGTGTGTGTGTGTGTGTGGGCTTTCTTACGTTACTTTTGCGAAGCGTAGTCGACTCTTCTACCGCTCCTGCTGCTGCTGACGCACTCCCAGCAACGTGACAGCCCATAAGAGAGGGGGAGCTAACTTTTTTTTGTGTGACGCACACATTTGCCTCTGCAATCTGTGCCACATACAGCTGTCGGGGTGCCCCTTCCCTGATCCTGTACCTGTAGCTGTACCTGAATGCGATGTATCTGCACTGGACTCAGTGTCTGGTTTATTTCCATTGCTGCCCCATCCCGTGTCCTGTTTTCCGTGAGTGTGTGAGGCATCCAACAGAAGCTGATGCCATGCTGGGAGAGTTACGTCGTCAAAGCTAGTAATGGTTTAGTGAAATAACAAATAAAACGGAAAACGCGAATCGCAAGGAGCACTGCAAAGGTTGCCTCTCTGACCCAAGGACCAGCAACGGAAGCGGCAATGGTAACAACAATAGCCATAACACAAACAAAATAAATTAAAAAAACTATGTGTACATCTGAAAGGTGAATGAAAGTCACTTGATAAGCTTCATTTACGGCGCAAAAAGAGTCTGTGCGCTGGGTGTTGAACGTTACGCTAAAGCGTTAAGCAACAGTCGCAACACCCCCTCATCCACACAAAAGGAATAGGGATTCCAATTTCATTGTGTTCTGCGAACAAAGCTACAGCTGAGCAGCTCTCACCGTTAACCGTTTCTTTCAGTTATCACAACGGTACTAGTTGCAGCCCAGCGAAGACTAAAGCTCAGACTCTCTTTAGACTGTGCTGAACTCTCTCTCTCTCTCTCTATTATGGGAATTTATCACTGGGTTTCTCTTCAGTAGAGAAATTTAATAGATTAGAAATAAATTATAAATTTCTTTGATTTAAATATAAATTTATTAATGCGTATTCTTAACACTAAATCAATCTAAATTTGTATTTAAATATAAAAGAGTTAAATAATTTTTTCGCTAAAATAATTTTAATTTTTGCGTTGACCAAAACTGTTAACTTTTCAATGCTTTTGAATGCCACACACGAGCATGAAAGTTTTCAGCAGCAGTCAAACGTAAAATGAAACGCAAAGTGGATAAGCCATTCATCGGATCGATAAATCTCAACTACATAATCGTCCCGCACACACACACACACACACACACACACATACATCACGTTCTCTTGTATGTAAGAATGCCAATGGAATCCACTACTACCCCCTCTCTCTCCTCGTCTTTCCACTGCCCGAATATTGGCTAACGATTCTTTTCATGAAATTTGCAAATCGTTGCTCGATTCAAAAGTTTGCTTTCTTTGGGAAACGACTGTCAATAACAAGTAAGGCAAAAATCGAATATTTGTCCATCATGATGCAGTCAGGGCGGAGTGGGCTGTGTGTATGTGGGAAAACAAGCGAGTGTGACAATTTTCTCATCTGTTGGCGAAAAGTGGGTACAATTTAATTTGCAGGTCACGTAATTTGCTGGTGTATGTGTCAAGTTGTATCCCCCCACCTCACCAGCTCATGGTTTTCGTGGGGGGAGCGGTGTTCTGTTTGGGAACGAACACTCGTGTATGCCCGCACGCAATGTACAGAAAAATATGCAAATCGAGAGGCGGAGCACACATATGGCAAGGGAATCGAGTCGAATCGAATCGAATCGAATCGAGTTGAGTTCTTTTTGAGTTTTGTATTTCCAACTGTCACACTTTACCGTTATGCGTTAAACCATATGCAAAAGTAACACTGCTTCAAAATAACAAACCCACACGGGAAGATACTTAAATAAAAGTCAGAGAGTCGAAGTGTAAAGTTGATTTTATTGATTCGATAATGGCCTATTTTTCCAATATGTAAGTGAAAAATATAAGAAGAAACCCTCTCCTACCGTATCCACTACCGTCCATCCACGTGATTAAAATTCCACCAGATAAGAAAATGCGCCAGAAGGATATTCCCCTGCCGTCTGCCAAGCTACCGCCATCTCATTCCATCGACATTTTCTTGCACTTTTTCCCGGTGGCATACTTTTTGGCTTATTAATGTTAAAGTTTTTGTTGTTGCTGCTGTATTTGGCGTTGCTTTTATCATTAACTTTATGCAAACAAGTTTTGCTTCTCTTTTTTGCTGAGGGTTTTTCCAGTTGGGGCCGGGGGTTTGTTTGTTTTTTGTGTACCATTTGCAAACGACAAACAGTTTGGCTCACAAAACCAGCAGCCTGGCCATATGGCAGACATCTGCATTGTTGTTGCCATTGAGATACTCGTCTACTCGTTGGCACACTTCCCTAATGTATCTATCCATCTAACCATCTCTCCATTTCCATTCCATCCGCCTTGCAGTACAATTACCTCATGCAGTTTGATTATCTGCCCAAGTCGGACCTGGAAACGGGAGCTCTGCGCACCGAGAAGCAGCTGATAGATGCAATACAGAGTCTCCAGGTATGTACACACTGCCCCACCACCACCCCACCCCCCACATGTCTATTATGCCCGATTTCACAAGCAACATTACTGTTCTACTTGCCACTGATGCTGCCTACCTTCTGTCCACAATGCCACATCTTGTGCCTCTACCCTTGTGGCGGCAGTCTTTTGGCAACATTCCAGTTACGGGCGAAATCGACGCGGCTACAGCCAGGCTAATACAGCAGCCCCGCTGCGGTGTGGGCGACAAGAGGTACGCGTATAATTTCTCCCCCGACAATCTGGATCATGACAATGGCAATGGTGTACGTGTGCGGCGTTATGTCCTGCAGGGACCCAAGTGGAGCAAAACGGATCTAACATGGAGGTAAGTCGTCTCTTTCCTTACCAACTCAAACACAAATGACAAATACAATTACTTCTAACTAGAAACCTTTTACATATACAATTTGTTCATGCCCGATTCTGGAAATATATTAACTTAGTGTTAGCAAAATATAAGTTTTACTCTAAATTCTTTTTCAATTTTAAGTACACATAAAAGACCTGCATTAATTTTGACGCAAAAGGGAAAATAATGTATGATTTTTGCCCTGATTAAATCGCGGCATTCATTATGAAAACTCTCGTTGCTTTTGAGGGTTCCTTGCACTCCGCTGCCACGGGGTGTCCCCCTTTATTTTTTCTTGCTTTCTTCCCCCCCAGAATGTTCATTTCAATTAAACTGCTGCATGCAGTTCATTAATTTTTCAGCGTTCATTTAGATGCGAATTTATAATTTTACAGGACTGCTTGTTCGCTGGGGGGCTGAGGAGAGGGAGCCGAGCGTAGGGCCCTGGATGTTGCTCTCTTTCTGTTGTCATGTCCCCGTGCATACGCGCTTTCAATTAATTCAAAACTCAAACGTTGCGTAGCTTGTTAATTTTTATCACTACCCATTGCACTATCCCCCTGCATTTTTTCTTCCCCTTGAACCCCCTGATGATGGCTTTCTTGTATTGCATAATTTGCTGTGCTAAAGCGTGTTTTTATGTAAAACAATTCAGTGCTTTTCTCCCAAAAACCCATTCTACATAAAGTGGGTGGTGGGTGGTTTGACCGGTTTTTTCATCCCTATGAATTGTTAATGGTCCCGAGATGACCTGCTGTGCAGCGAAAAAGTTGGCTCCTTCGCTGGAATCTGGGACTGAGCTCGAGTCCGGTGGCGGGGTGTGGAACCAAGCTGACGCTCTCATTAAACACTTTGCGCCAAATTGAATTTTATGATGAGCCAAAAACGAACTCGGGGAAAACAGCATAGTAGCATCTTCAGCATCTTCAGTTCAGCTCTGATTGCAGCTGTCACTTTTTTGGTGTTGTATTTGATTTTTGATGCGCAGCTTCATAATTGCGCTTGAAATATTAAACCGGTGACCTTTCACTTTGCGCTTTGATAATGAGCAGAAGTAGCTGTAAGAACACAACAAGATTTCAATTCTTGTGTACTCCAAAATACCCTGTAAATGGTTGTTAAACTCAATTTTTGCAGTTTAGCTGTAGGGTTCGCTCTGTCTTTCTGTCTCCTTTTTATATCTTTACTTTTTTCAATGCAGTAAAAAATCAAAATTCATGATAAATTCTTCTGTTTGTTATCCAAGCTCAGAAAAATAAGAGAGATTTTTCAAATTTCACGCAGATACTCTTGCATCTGTGTATACCCTGATACTACTCGATAACTGGGCATCAGACAACTAGTTTCTGGAGGAAACGGAGCTGTCTGCAATATCCTTTTCGTTTAGATACTGTACTGTCCGTGCATGGTACATATAGTCCGTACATAGCTGCAGCTCATTATGCAATTTCCAATTAAATTTGCATAGCTCAAGGGGCAGAAACAGCTGGATTGTATTGCATACTTTCGGGCAGCAACGTATAGCGCGCATTCTCCCAGAGATTACACATACGCCATGGTGTCTTGGCACTGAGTGCCATGGTGGCACTTTAAGAGCAAAGTTCCATGCAGCGCCTGGCTATTTAATTATTTCTTGTATCGTCGTCTACCCTTAATTGGCTATTAAGTGGATGGCGACCGACGACGAGGGCGTGGCATGTTTGGAGGCATATCCCCGGGGGGGTTGGGGGCTGTGGAAGGACAATCTTGTGACTAAATTAAAGCATTACGCATCGGGGTCTCCGGCCCAAGGATCACAGCGGTGGGTGCTGCTGTTGCTGGCATCAAATTGAGTTACCCTCAAATATACATAGTGTATCGATGAGGGTCGTGTCGTGAACGTTATTGACCTGCTTTTGGTCTCCTAGCTGCATGTGTTCCCTTTAATTGCAGCTCAACAAAGGCACGATGGAGGGGAGAATAGGAGCAAAATGGGGGATTGTGTTTGCAAGTGTTTTTCCATTTCCGCTCAGCATGGAAATTCTCGTGGCGGAAGTCATTCTATAGCAGTTTTTTCGCTTTCCTCTTCCACACACACACACACACAAACCTAAGGAGGGTGACAACATCCTGGCAACATAGTTTTCCACATTCCTTGAGACATTAACTGTGGAAATTGCCCCACGCGAGCTCGAGGACACAAATCAACAGACAGCATCCAGCAGTGGCCATCGCAGAGCTGCAACAGCGGAGCGGAACGCAACGGAAGTGACCAAAAACTTGCACTTGACGCAAATATTTAAACCAAATTGGCAATTGTTGTGCAGTGTCCGGGAAGCGGATGCCGTTGCCCCGTAATGTGGCATTTACTTGGCTGCAAAATGAAGTTGCCACAGTCGCCCACTGCCACTGCAAGTGTTGCTCTTCAATGAGGTAAAACCCAATTTCTCCTCTCTATTTTCTGGTTTAATTAGGTTCTTCCAGCCAGATGCAAATCCCAAAAGGCTATTGGCTTGCAAGCAGAAGAGAGAAAATCAACATTTGCGAAGGAGAATAGCTTTCTGGCTCTTTTTCTGCCACATTTTTGACTTCCTTTCTGTCAGAAATGTTCCATTTCCTCGCCTAATGCATGGGCAAACAATTGGGGAAAACTGGAAAATGGTGTCAACAAACCGAGAATCAGACGCAAGCAAAACCTGTTGCAATTCGTCTCTGACCAAACTTCAAGTTGATTTTCCTTTTAGTTTTCTACTTCTCCCTTTTTTTTCAGTTTATTTGGCAAATTACATTTTCTGGAGTTGGCTTTAAGCATTCTATAGAGTCTAGGCAACATTGTAGCCCCACCATCAATTGCCTCTTTTTGTGGCATTAATAAACGCTCAGCGCAATGCATTGGTCCGCTGCTCTGGGGGCATTTGTTAGAATTTTTAATAACATTAATAAAGTGCACAATGAAGTCAAAGGCGACACGCACATGCTTCGATGGAAGGACAACAGAAAGGAAGCCAGTAGCTGGTAGCTGGCGACTCCTTGAGGAGGTTGCCGTTTATGCTTATTAGCGTGCAGGCGAGCCATTAATACAATGCACCAAAGAGACAGATACGGCGAGTCAAGAGTGGCGAGGTGGAGGTGGCAACAGCAGCAGCATCCTTTTAGTCGCATGCCACATAAAGAAGCAACGTGCGCCCCGCCTCGCCTTGTAGCGAATGTCATAAAAACAACTCATACTCATACTCACTTGTGTCTGCGTTTGTGTATGTGCCACATCAGCAGGCAGAATGCTGGCTGTCCGTGTTACAATGATAAAAAGTAATTTTATGACTCGCACAAAAGAAATGTTCCGCCCCGGAATGCACTTATTTGTTCGTCAGCCATGGCATTGCATCCATCCATCCATCCATCCCCCTCCCGGCATTGCACGACTCGGACACACATCAGATGAAGCTTTTAACAAGCGCCAAGCGGCAGCAGTAACCCGAAACTTTACCCCGAACATTGACTGAGGCGAACCGTCTTTAAGTTTCGAATTTACTTGCTTTTCAATCAAAAATTTAAGGAACTTTTCATGGAATTTCTCTATGTACATTTAACGCATCGAGGAGCTGTGGTGGCAAAAACCAAACCAAGATTTGAATGCCATTTGTTGCAGCTGTTGCAAACAGAATGACCAGTGCGGGGGGAATCGATGGTATGCGGAGTGTAGCTGTGGCTGTGGGACTGTGGAAGGGTCAGCCAATGCTAAATCAATTGCTGGTTAGATGGCTGAATGTCTGACTGGAGGGCAGCTAAACCAACATGTGGTCAGGATAATGGCTGACGACCCTCCAGCCAGCACCCAAAAGAGTATGGTAGATATGCTTCCACCTCTTTCTGTTTATTTATCCTTAAAATCCGCTTACTCCGCTTATCATTTATATTTTTTTGCATATTTTTTAATTTGCATAAAATAATTTGCTGATCAACGCATTCGAGACAGTTTTTCTCATCATAATTTATGCAGCAAGCGGACTAAATCACACGAGAGCTGCCACAACAGAGAATGACAGAGAGGAGTATATCTAAAGAGAGAGCGAGAGTGTGGGAGTGAGAGAAGCATTTAATGCCGTAAACAGAACATGGCAATAGTTTAATGCTTCGCACAGATTCTGTTGCTGTTGCCGTTGCTGTTGCTGTTGCAGTTGCTGTTGCTGTTTATTTTCCGGCAGTCATTTGCAGAGTTGCCCCTACCCGTTCGTCCTTCGCTGCTTCCCTTCGTTGTCGGTGGGACAGGGTGGCTAATGGCCGTCCATTGGCCATAGTTTTCTGACTTTTCGTATGCTGTCAAGTGCTCGGCACTCGAAATTATTATCTGCCATTAATCATGGCCATAATGTTTGCCAGCCATAAAATGGAGCAAGTGCAACCAGAAACAGAGAGCGGAGCTCAGGGAACGCACTCCCCAGACAAGTACGAGTACGAGGGGGTGCGAGGGCCGCTCTATGCTCTATGGAAGGATGTCAATAAAGATCTTAAGGCGCTGATGAAGATGTAAGAATGAAATACAAAGAAAAAAGTTTAACGAAGGATGTATAGAAATGGATAACATGAAATAGGATTTAGCTTCAACTCGATACCTTACCCCCCGCAGAGCTACAGGTGGAACGAAGATCGCTGCGGCATGACGCGTGAGCTCTTTGTCGTTATGGCTAATGCTATTCCAAAGTAGTTATATCCAATCTATGGCTGATTATATTCCCATCAACTGACCGAATCTACGCCTATTTATGGTTCTCCAAAGACTTTTGGGACTACCCTCTCGTGCGGGTCAGATATAATTTTGTGCAATGCAATCGCTTTATTACTGTGACAATTATTTTAACTGCTGGAGATTTTTATTATGATATTTTTTGTAGTTGAAATTTTCGTATCTGTTTTACTTTCTGGTTGCTTTTTGAGTCATTTGGCCATTGTCTGTGCATTTTTTATGCCTCAGACCACACAGCCACAGCAAACAGAGAGTCGCACACATACAAACGGTGGTACAGTAGGGCACAAAAGGCGGTGTTGGTGCTTCTGCTGGTGGTGGTGCCACGAGAGGTACGAACTGTATTGTAAACTAAACTCGTGCATAAATAAAAAGCCCAATTTGGGTTCATATTAAAATAGACAGACATTTTTGTGCTGAGCTCAAGGAAAACTGTGTCAACATCTGTCTGTGTGGGTGTGTTCTCGTGAAAGGATTGCCACAGGATACATAAATGTGTACAGAATTTATGATGTGGCATATTTTCTTATGCTGGCTCTTGGGCCTTTGAATTTTGCATGCATTTCGATAGCATACTCGTACAGCAGCAGGCCGAGTGCGATGCGAGTAACCCTTTGTCTTAGCGCGCAGTCTCTCGTTCCTTGAGTGGGCAATCCGATACCGCACAAGGTGTAGCATTTCAAAATTTAATAACCAGCCAAGGAGAAGGAGAGAAAGAAAGCACAGGCAGAAGCACCAGCACGAGCACGAGCACGAGCAGAACCCAACACACAAAACTCCTATAAGCCTCTCTTATAAGCTGTTTCCTGTTCTGTTTCGAGCTGCGGGTGAACTGCGAATTCGAGCCGAAAGATTTCATGGAAAGAGCTGCGCTACTGTGTGGCGGGGGATCCATTGAAAACCCATTTGGTATCCGGTCCCCGATGACGACGCTGACATAGCCGCAATATCAGAAGGCGAGGGGCTGGGCCAGGGCCAGGGCCAGTCAGTGTTTCATTGTACGTGTCACCGCCCAAAATGGGAAGAGTTTTTCTGTAGAGCCTTTGGTTATCATGCCACATCAGTCACAACACCACAGAAACATCACGAGCAGCAGCATTTGCAGAACGGCTGTTTTTGAGGCAACTTAACACTCGCCGAACCCCCTCGTTCCCACTCACATGCTCTTGGGGGCACGTCAGTGCGCCAGTGCATCAGTTTTGTGTGCTAATTTGCCGTCTAATTTGCGATGGACAGCAAATTTGCAGCCTCATACGACGCACAGGCCTGCTCCTGCTCTGGTTGCTACTCTTTGTCCTGCCTCTAGGCTCTAGACGTGTCAAAAGCTTCCAAAATGTGATGATGTTGCAACAGGAGATGCATCAGCATTCAACGCCAGCCGGGAACAACCACAATTGCATTTCGTCAGCTTTTGTGATTTAGCCGAGGAAATTGCCTTGCGACAAAAAAGTCCATTAAACCTCCAACGAATTTTGTAGGCGATTTTGAAAGCTTTCCCTTTCCCTTTCTCTCTTCTACGAATGGAGTTTAGTTTCGCCTCAATTATGTATCGATTTTATGAGCAGCTTCGTTGAACGCATTAACGTACAGCAGAGTGGCGCAGTGGAAGCGTGCTGGGCCCATAACCCAGAGGTCCGAGGATCGAAACCTTGCTCTGCTAAGGGGTAGGCTTGTCGCCTAAAACATCTTTTTTTTATCTTCTTTTTTATTTTTATTTTTTATATAAGTCATTTAGTCATCACTGTTGCACTTCAAGCAGTTCCCTTGTCTCTGTGTCTTACTGAGCTCTGAGAATCTACGCTTTAAATGAACATTCCCAAAGAAAAAACTCAATAAATTCAAAGTGTACGCCACATAAAATCTTCCATTAATTTTGTACTGCAAGCAAATGGCGCAAATGACGCTGCTTCCCCTTAAAACACACATATATTGTCGTTTGTATGTACATATGTACATACATACATATGTGATGCGCTGGCATTGGCGTAATTATGTTTGCTTACGTGGCCACAGACGCCAGAGGCACCAACAGCAATGGTGGCAGGAGCAGCAGCAGCAGCAGCAGCAGGAGAAGGACGAAGGACGATGGACGGACACTGAACGAGGCAGCAACAATGTGTGGCTTGAAATTTGACACTTTCACAGTTGGTCAGCGTTTGCCGAGGGGGCTGTCTGCATTTCGTTAGATTAATGTCCTGCTCAATCATCAATAGGTTCCAGCGTACAGTGCTGCCATTTTTGTTTGTGTGGCACTTGTTTATCGCTGTGGCCCCTGTGGTCCCTGGACCCCGGATCGGGAGTAGAAGGCGGGCGAAACGGAAAGTACGACAGAACTAAAGAAACGATAAATACACTCAGAAAAAAAACCACGAAATCGACCAAAGGCCAAGCACTATTTTCAGAGCAAATCAAAGAAAGGAGACCTCAATTTTCTTTCTTTTCTACATCTATTTATTTATTTCGCCATAAGTTTAGCTTCTATTTGCGGTTGGTACGAGTATTCCCCCAGTGTATTCGCTTTGGTTTCTGCCTGTTTGTTCTGGTGCTTTTTTGGTTTCCTTTTCTTTGCCTTTCCTTTTTTTTCCACCAGTTTTTCCGTTCATTTGCTGCGCTTCAGTTTTCTTTCCCATTCGTTTCTGTTTATTGTGTGTTTGTGGCGACTCCCATTCCGGTTCGTCCTGTGCATTCATCCTTTGCTTTGTTCCTTCGTTTGCTTTTAATTCATTTAGGTTTTCTGCCTGTTCATTTTGATTGATTACCACTTTAATTGCGGATATTAAATGACAAGCGCCCAGAACAGAATGGCTTCCACAATGAGTATATTCCTGCGTATCCCACACATCATTCCCATGCCCACATTTGATTGCTGCATGATTTGTAGTTATTCAATGAGATAGAGCGACTTGGATTTGCACAGCGACTTAATGAAAGACCAGTCGTCGCCTCAAATTACGAGTAACTATAGTTTTTGGGGTGCATACAATTCTGTACGCAGACGGGGTTCGAATGGGAAGACCAGAAATAAATCTAAAATAAAAGTAGTAAAGTAAGCATCTTCATGTTTTTCCGTTTTCCTAGAGTTTTTCATACATTTTCCCATTTTATCTTGATATTTCAGTGTGTTTAAATTGTTGAAAAAACCCACAGCATATGTATGTTTGAAGTTCCAGTTGGCACTTGTAAAAGAAATGTACATATTTATGTAGGTACCAGAGACAAGGACAAGACTGCACTTACTTTGTATGTGAAAGTGTAAACGAGAAACAGGTCAACAATTAAATTAGCATATAACGCACCAGCCGCTCGCTTGGCCTGTCTTTCGATCACGTGAATCTTCCAATTGAAAAGTTGGTTCGTTTTTAATTTGCGAAAATTAGTCAAAAATTCATTTACGGCTCACCATCTATTGGCTTTGCATCTCCTTTGCTGGCTTCTACTGCCTCAACACATTCTGCTGCATACTCTGAAGAAGCATCAGTATAAGAGCCCGAAGTGGAAGATTCATCATCATCCGTTTGGGCACACCCCTCAGCCAGGACATAGTCAGATTCGTCTCCTGAACTAACGGAGGAATTATCCGCATTGATAATATTCTCGGCATCTGCCATCACTCGGTACTTAATAGTAGCTGGATAGGTGTTTCGATTTTCAAAAATAGAAGCAAACGGCTGGGGATTATTATTCATTTGACAAATGTATCAGAAAAGGCCACTTGATTTGTAATTTTTCCAATGAGTTCACATTTCGGTAGATTTGTCTCAGATTTCTTCTTGACAGCGACATCTCCTCCTCTGAGACGACAGAGAAGAGTTTCTTGATTAAAGGTCTCTTGTCCACTCAATTTTACGCCTTTGATGTGGGCGCTATATAATGCTCTGTGGGCGCCGTGCGCGTGGGAGTTGGATCTGGGGGTGCTGCTGCAGTCAGAACTGTAAATATATAATAATTCTAATGAAAAATGTCGAGCAGCAAATTTGATTACTTGCTTTGATTGTCAATTAAAGGCACAACAACAATTTGCCAAGCGGTGGAATATCGTGAGACGCCGACAACGACTACGTCACCATATACATACAGACAAACTCGTATACATTCATTTATATGTACATGCATCCACTTTACGAGTATGCTATGTGTCAGTGTTTGTAGATGAGCGAATCCTAATTAATTTTGCCAGGGAAGGGTCCTGCATTTAGTGACACTGTGATCCAGCAGTCCGCCTGCTCATTAGTCGTATTAATTGATAAATTGATAGCGTTTTCTTGGGGGCTCTTTGGGGGTGGAACATGAATATGAACTTATGCTATGGTTTATGCTGCATTGGACAGGCCAAAAGTTTCCACTTCTCAGGGAAAGTTTGGCTAAAAGAAAAACATCATCCTGGCAAAAGAGAACAGGAGAGGAGAGTACCCCTTCTGTCTGTCTGTCTGTCTGTCTGGCTGTCAAATCAAACTTTGATTTGATTCGATATTCAGTCTATATTGAACATATATCTATGTACATATATGTATTGTATGCTCTGTGTGTGTGTCTTTGAAGCAAACTTTTATTCAAACTGACAAGTTTTGGCTGGCTTTTCGCAGTCTTTCTGCCTTCCTGCTGACCAACAACACAACAATCAGTTAATGCAGAAGGCAACTTCTGTTTTGGGTTCGTTCTGTTGATTAATTGCTGGTGGAGTTTTAGTGTCACAACTGTCTTGATTAATGCCTTGTCCAGAAAATTGTGTTTGCTTCACACCTACCAGACACCATCCATGTGGCCTACCTACTAGTGCCCCTTGTGGCAGCTCTCTTTTTCCGCCTGACGCCTACCGCCTACCGCCTACCGCCTAGCCAATTGTTAATTGTTGTTAAGCGCTTTTAATTTTCATATGTGGGCAAAAACCTACAGAACAAACAGCAACATCAGCAGGGGGAACAGTGTAGCAGACGTGTAAATGCCTGAGCCGAAGCACAAACCGAAAGCCGAAGCGAAAGCCGAACGAATTTCAAAGCATACCCGAAATCCATTAAGGATGCGCCTGCGCACGAGTTGAACGCTCTCTCTTATACGCCATACGACACCACGTAAAGCTGTCGCCGAGAGCTTTGGATCGGGCCAAAGCTTGGGCAAAAGCCAGCGGCGTTTCATTGAAATACGGACGCACATCAGGCGCAGAGCTCAGTCGCTGGCCAGTGTGGGTCGGCGCAAGTGGTGCCTTCAAGCTACAAGCTAAACTCAGGAAAAAGCTGAGACATAAAGATAATGGTGAAAGGTTAAATATTCAGCCAGCAGCAGCAACTGTGAACCTGTGATCGCTTCCTTCTGCCACTCACTACTCTCACTCAACTGTCGGCCTGTCTGTCTGTCTGTCTGTCTGCCTGTCAGAATGTGCATACGAAAGAAGGAAGGAAAGCAGCGGCAGAAGGGCAGAAGCCCACTCGAATCCTCCGAATCAGAATCAGTGGCGCATTCAACGTCAGCACATAATCCCAGGCACTTGAGCAACAGCAGCAGCATCAGCGGCAGCAGCAGCAGAAGGAAGAATGAAAGACGAAGAGGCATCGTAATAATGCCCCCGATTAAAGAACAAAAAGCCAGGCTGAAGTGCTCCAAGTCATTTGTGTGCTCATTGTGCGGCGACCCAGGACAAACAGCCAGACTAGGCGAGGAATGGAGCCAGCCACAGCGTCAGCTCCAGCTCCTAGCGGACTGGATGGATGGATGGATGGCTGGCTGGCTGACGGAAGTGCTCTAAGAGGGAGCCCTAGGGCTCAGGGCGCTCAGTACTCAGTGCTCAGTGCTCAGTGCAGTCGAGCCAGCGCATATAATGTCTGCTAATATTTGAAGAGTGCGTCGCATTAATTGACATGAAAGAGTCACGAAAAAATGGAAGTAGAATGCAGCAGTCGAAGCAGCAGCAGCGGAACAAATGCAGCGAACATAAAGGATGGGCCCTAATGAGTGGGACAGACAGAGACACTCGAGTAGAGGCGACATCTAGACGATGGGGTAAGTGCCTTTGGCTTTGGCATCCCTCTAAGCCTTCTTCAAGATTGTTTCCCCCTCCTCTCCTCTCCTCTCCTCTCCCCACCCCACCCATCTCCCACGTCTCCGGCATCTGCTCCTCCTCTGTATCCCAGTGATTTTGTGTGTGTGTGTGTGTTTGTGTGGTGTATCTGTGATTTGGTGGCCAGGGCAAGTGATTTATATGCCAATAAATGCAGGCGGCTTGGGCATTAATATTAGATTGCATTATCCCCGCCTTTTCCCTCCCTTCCTCTGTGGCTGTACCATGAACACCATCTGTCCCGATGGTCGGGAGTAAGGCTATATATTTGATGCCAAATTAGCCCCAGTCCTGGGTCGTCCGCCACTGGACTATTGTGTTAATTTACTGCGGTTTGGCTAGTTATCAGATTCTCTTCATAAATTACACATTTCTCACCCGAACCCACCACTCCCCCACACCCGTTTACTGCCATTAGCCTCATTGGCATATGCCAGCAATCAATTTGAAATTAAATATATTCCACAATTTGTTGTTTGTCTGTACTGCCAATTAGGGGCATGCAACATACACTTACACATAACCCATCGAAATGCAAATATTTCAATAGAACCATTTTTTCGATACGCCCTGCAATCAGATTTCAATTGTCAAGCGTCGTTTTTTTTTTGAGAGTGATTGGGATTCTTTTTTTCTAGCATGATTTTCCTTTGTCTCTTCTGTGAGTATTTGTTTTGATTGAGGTTTTTTAATTGCTCAATAATTAATTTCACTATGATAGCGCAGAGCATTATTTAACATTCCTGCGAGTGATTGGAATTCATACAAAACATTTTGATGAGTCTATTTAATGTGATGTTCAATACTCGTTAAAAATGTTGAAAAAACATGTTTAAGGAATGAAAGGAACAATTTGATTTATTTTCCCCAAAATTGTAAAATGAATTCCACCAAATATTTATAAAAATAATAAATTGGAAAAATTCGATCTTCTGTTCTTGCCTCAGAATGTTTAAGCTTTGAGTATCAAGACAAAGGTAAGATCCCATGCCAAAAAGAGTGTGACATATCTTGGCTGGTTGGTAAGTTCTTAGAGTCGTAATCCCCCATAATTACTACCTTTAAATCCCACAACGCCCTCAACCCAAAAGCCCAAAAGTCGCTCTCTCTGTCCCTTAATTCGCTGTTAATTTGTGACTTGGGCTTTGTTTACGGCGGCTACACACAAACAAAGCCCACAAAGTTCTACAAAGATATTAAGCCAAAAAAATATAAAAGAGATGCTCCTACGACCGGGAGCATCTTTTCGCAGATTTTTGCCACAAAGACACAGACTTGCTTCAAAAATTCAATTAAACAAAAAGGAAGTGAAAATCGTTTGACGCTGCCACAAAATGTTCCATATAATATTTAAATGGAATTAGTTTTAATTAAGTCCCCGGCTAGGTTATGAGGCAGCCACAAAGGGAAATTTCCTTTTCCCCTTTACCCTTAAAAACCAAAAAACCAGTCAAAAAAAGCAACGTTAACAGACTCAAATTACCAACTGCTGCTCTCCTGCCCGAAAGCCCAAAAAAGAAGAAGCAACACCAAAATGAGACCAAAAATGTTGCTGCTAAAGGAAGTGATTAAAATTTTACCTAACCCCCAAAGAACCAGGAACCAGGGCCCTGACCGAAGGCCTTTTTTCCAGCAAGTTTTGCTGCTTTTTCTTTCCTCGGAGCTTTGCCCTGCTGTACCTTTCTTTATTTTGTTTTTTTTTTGTTTTTGTAAATTTCTTTCATTTTTGTAATAAGTATTAATTAATGCAAAAATGAAGACAAGCGAGCGTTGAGAAGTCGTAAGTAGGGCTTCCTGCTGCTCCTTCGCCGTTTGCTTCTTGTTTTACAAATGAGCGGCGCCGTCGCCACTGCGCTGGAGTTTCAACTCAGTTTTTTACCCGCTGAAATTTGAGTCTGTTGGTCAAGCAAAGTGACGCAAATTAAGAAAACCCTAGCCCCATGCCCCAGGCAGGACCTAGTCAAGCAGAAGCAACTTAATGAAAATGAAATTGACACCTCGAATACCTGGGGTTCACGCGCAGGTACCTGTACTTGTACCTGGCCTTTAACGGGAAGCCTCGTCATATGCTCCCACCTCTCTGTGTCTGCTGTTGAGTGACCGCAAGGTAAAATTATACGCACGTCTGAAGTTACCACGATGTATGGATGTACGTGTATGTCTGTAGTAGATGATGATGGCAATTGAGGGGGAAAGCGATGTGGAGGACTGTGAGCATGTCCTGTTGTGTGAAAGGAGGACATGTCGTGTCAATAGTCGCCTGGCTGGCACTTCCGTTGACATTCTGTTGCCCATCAGAAAACGACACACACAATCCTGTCGTGTCCTGTGCTCGGCTGTGCCCCATAAATCTTCCCATAGTTGTGCCACATCCCCATTTCATACATATGTATCTACATATGTTTCGTATGTGTCGTATGTTTTATCTTTACGCTTCCGAGCCCAAATCCGAAGCTCTGGAATAACCGAAAAACCAAACAGTGTCTCCAGTTATTCGAGTTTCGTTGTTTAGCTCATAAATCTGCTTATCTGCAGAAGCAATGGAAAGGGAGGGAAGGGGACATCAAACCCCCCAACTTCGAGGGTCCTTCCCTT